TAAACATAAAAATAACGAAGCTCAGCATTCAGCGCTGGGCTAAGAAGGCCATGGATGGCAACGTGAAGGATGCGCATGCCTACCTCGAGCGGCCTGAGCCCCTCTCCCTCCCAGAGTTGTGCATCGACCCAGACAGCAAAGGTGCCATTGCAAATCTCCAGACGACAGTGGAAACGCGAGCACGACAATTGAAAGCGAGGTGGGCCAAGCATGACGAGGAAGAGGGGCGCATGGCTCAGATGAAGAGGCTCCGCAAATTGGCCGAGGCAGACCTTCCGCTTCGAGAGGCCATTTCGCTGGAACAATTATCAGGGGCACTGCGGGCTACGCCGAACTCATCGGGACAAGGCTCTGATCTGTGAAAGGTACAGCACCTGAAAGCCTTAGCTCCTCAGGCCAAGAGCGAGCTTGCGAACCTGCTGGCGAACTGCGAGCAGACCTTAGCATGGCCACATCAATGGTTGCACATCTGGTGCGAATTATTGCGCAAAGGCGCCAACCTGAGGGCTGGAGACGAACGACCGATTGGCCTGATACCACTACCTGTGCGTCTGCGGGGGCGAGTACGCCAACCGGCGCTGGCAGGATGGGGCAGCAAGAAGGCAGCTTTCTGGGACGCAGCTGTGGCCAATTCGCCAGCTCTTCAAGCAGCGCTCTTCAGCGTGGCCATGGGCGAGAGCAGTGCTTGGGATGGAACGCCTGCGTGGGGTCCATTTATGTAGATCTCAAGAAGTTCTACGACTCGATCAGCATCACATTATTGATCGATAGAGCGCTGAAGCTCGAGTTTCCACCAGTGGAACTATACCTCAATTGCGTTATCTACATTGCCCCCAGAGCGACCAGAGCGGCTGGAGCTTTCGCTCCACCGATCATTCCAGGGAACAGCATAGTCCCAGGGTGTAACAATGGTATAACACTGCGAATAATGGGGCCAGACCTCTCTTGCACGAGGTGTTGGATCGATCTCGCAGTCGAGTACCTCGTGCACTTCCGCGCCAGTATGTGGGCGACGTCGCAGCGAGATCGGACGGTACTTGCCAGCAGGTCAATCATGATCTCGTTGCAGCGGCAGTTGAACTGGTCCGAGGTTGCGTTGAAAGCAAGCTGGGGATGTCAGACAAATCTGCAGTCATGGCGTCTCACCCCAGCACCGAGAAAGCAGCGCCGAGGGCAGTGCAACAAGAAGGGGCCAAGGTGCAAGGGGCAGCATTTGTTCGCGACTTGGGCATCGACATGGCGAGAGGACGGAAGAGGAGGGCAACGGCAGCGCAAGTACGACGCTGAGCGGCTAAGGCTCGGACGCGCCGAGCCAGAGTTTTCAGAAGGGGCAGGCAAGCGCAAAAGGAAACTGGCTACCCTCAACACGGCCAACGTCAGGGCCAAGTCGCCGCGCGATGTTCCAGCCCTTGGCCAACCTCTTCGGCAGTCCGACGCGCGCGAGCTGAGGCGGCCGATATGCTTGGATATACTACAGGAGGCAGAAGTACGTCCATGATCATGCCCTTGCGCTACTTCGAGCAGGGCCCCAAGGCTGCGGGACTTCGGCGCCAAGTCTCTGAATGGATAAAGCGTTGGAAGCGATGGCCGCAGTACCAAGACAAGCTCAGAGCAGGATGGCATGCAGCTGTACGGAGACCCCAGCGCGCACGGCCGCGAGGACGCTGGAACGTGGTAACGGGGCCGATGGCAGCGCTCATCCAAGGCTTGTCCGAGATGGGCTGGCAGCCCCCCTGAGCCTGATGAATGGGCGGATTCAAATCAGAATGCATGGAGAATGACACGACAACCCAGCGAGAACACACCTGGCATGGGGATCGGCGCCCCCTTGTCTTTTGGTGGAGAGACATTGCGAGATGGGCCAGGCTTTGTACAATCAGATGGCGGAGGTCAGCAGCGCCCAGACCCTCAACCGCAGCTGGCTATAACCAACATGAACGGCGAGCACGATCCTTTCGACGACATGGAAGAGACCACGCAGCATGAACCTCAGCGGGATGGGATGGCCTCTGCAATATATAATCACGACCAAGGGCTCGCCGTCGGAACAGGACAAGCGCACTCGCAAGTGGAAGACACCAGATGCCAGAGTACGCAACCACAGTATTTTCAACCAGAAGCAGAAGACACTATGCAGCTTATGGCGACCATCACAGCGGACGTTATCAAGGAGTTGTCGCAACAGGCGGCCAGAGTTCGCCATGGTGCAGGTGTGGAATTCAACCCCAGACATGACCTCGGCCAGCAGAACTATCCAGAGGATGCAGAGAATGGGGCCGCACCGAGAAGCAGGTGCGCTTGAAGCAGTAACTTGCAATACTATTTGGACTGAAGATCGCTGCCGAGCTGAAGGCTACGAGTGTGATGGAGTCTGTACCAGATGCACAACGGGCCAGAAGGAAACCATGGCCCACCGCGTTTGGAACTGCCCACACACGTGCGCTCAAGACCACCCTTGGATCAGACAGAGTGCTCGACTATGTGGAGAAGAAGTACAGGACATTACGAATGGGACCAACTTGGAGCTGTGGCTAAGAGGGCTACTGCCGTCCACGTGGAACCCAGTGCCGCCTCCTCCTTCGTAGGGCACACCTTGCCTGCCGTTCTACATCGACTGGGACGGCCCAGCGATCCAGGACAACGGCACGATGCTCTTCGAGAACCGTGTCGAGTGCAAGCTGGCCTTCCTGGACGGCTCGGTCTCGAGCAGCGACGCGCGGATCGCGCGTGCAGGCTGGGGTGTCTACCTGGCCCAATCCGCTGCTCGAGTGGAAAATGATGATCCTACTTTCCCACGGCCTGGAAGATGTGGGGGAATTGACGGAGCCCAAACGGTCCCGTGTGCTGAGCTCGCGGCCTTCTGGAGGGCCTTAAAATTGACCAAGGGACTTAGTTGGCTGTACACGGACAGCCAGATCGTCTACGACGGTTGGCATGGTTTTTTTCTGACATGTCAGGTGATATCCGAGGTTGGTGGAGCCGTGTGTTTTCGGAAGCTCGAGGTCGACAGGTGATGCTCAGTAAGTGTAGCTCGCACATTGACAGAGTTTCGCTAGACTCCCTGGTCCAATCCCTCTGTGTGACGCGAGGCAACGACCTAGCGGATAAGTTTGCCCAGATAGGAGTGGAACGGGTCACTCAAGATATTGACCCAGGGGTCCGTGAACTTGCGCAGTGTGAATTCAAAGCTTGGTTGGTCCAGAGGAGGCTAGCTATTGTTAATGCGGCTGCCGCTTGTGCAGAATATGAGCGCAAGAGCCGCCCGTGTAAGGTCCGTTGCGTGCCCGCTGCCTGGCGCGTAAGGAAGGATTTCGAAAAGTCTTCGGGGCACCAGCTTTCCAAGATAGGCCCCTCCTGGGTGTGTAGCCACTGCCAGAGTGGCCCAGGGAAGTTTTCTGTTTTGGACTGGCTCCGTGACGGTAAGTGTCTTGGACCCCAGTACCACAGGGTAGAGTCTCAAGGTGAGCCCGTTCGCCTTCCCCCTCGTTTTAGAACCGGGGATAGGGAGGTAAATGAGTCTCACACTGCGGCCATTTTGTATGGCCAGATTTTCTGTTGGAGGTGCGGGTGCCTGGGCTCCAAGACCCCCTCGGGCGGAAGGCTGGGGGTGGGCCTCGTGGGCCAGTGTAGCGGGCACCCCACCCCAGCAGGACGAGAGGCTTTGAACAAGATTCAGCGGTGGGAGGTCCCCTCAACGAAGGGAAAGGCTGTGTGGCCTGATGGACCCCCCAGCGCCCCCAGGCAGCCACGGCGCACAGTGCGCCGCAAGGGTTAAGATTACCTTTTTCCGCCAACAGCATATCAGTGGGATGTGTTGCTGGTTTGTAATCGTCCTTCTAATCGTCCTCCTCCTCCCCCCCACCATTGCACAATATGAATACTACTCGCCTCTCTCCCCTGGTGGCGTCCTGGGAATGTCCCGCCCCCCTCCGTGCACGGTTTTTTACACAAGATTCCCGGGAGTTGGGTTTTCGTTTGGTTTTTGTTTAAATGCTGTTCTCGCTGAAGCGCTGGCCTTATTTTCCGGCTACCGCTCGTTCCGAGTCGTGCTCCCGCTGCAGCGCTGGCCTCACGTCTGCGCTCCCGCTCATTCTGAATCGTGCTCCCGCTGAAGCGCTGGCGCCATCATTTCGAGTGCCATGTCATGGCATGGTTTTCGGTCCTTCCAAGTAGGCCCCAAAATCTACAAAATGGCCTCCCGGAGAAACCATCGGAAATGATTACACATTCGGTGTCGATTCGTTGATTTTTTGGGCCGCGGAAGCCCCCCTACGGGGCGTCGCCACGCCATGCTATGTCAGGTTACAGTTCCGCGCTTCCGCGTTTTGTGTTTAGTTTTTTTTGTTTTTCTGTTGTTGGTTGTTCTTCTTTTCTCTTTTTCAAAATGCTGCTCTCGCTGAAACGCTGGCCCAATGTTCGGGCTGCCGCTCGTTCCGAATAGTGCTCCCGCTGCAGCGCTGGCCTCATTTCCGCGCTCCCGCTCGTTCCGAATCGTGCTCCCGCTGCAGCGCTGGCGTCATCATTTCGAGTGCCATGTCCTGGCATGGTTTTCGGTCCTTCCACATGGGCCCCAAAATCCACAAAATGGCCTCCCGAAGAAACCATCGGAAGTGATTCCACATTCGGTGTCGGTTCGTTGATTTTTGGGGCCGCAGAAGCGCGCCCCCCCCCCATCTTGGGGCGTCACCACGCCATGCTATGTCAGGCTACGCGTTGATCTTCGACACCCTTCTATGCCATGTAATGCTATGCCATGCTACGACATCCAAGTGTGCGAACAGAGAGGAGACCTAAGCCATGGTAAGGGATGGGAGGGAGGGGTAGGACGTCAGATATGACGCGAGCGCACCAAACTTGTCCTCCCCCTCCTCCCCCGTGACCCCCCCAAAAACAGTCGAAAACCCTCATGGCTTTGGCGCACATCTGCTGCCAGGCGCCTCCCCGCCCCCCCCGCTTCCTCTGCCGCCACCGCCACTGCCGATGCTGCTTTCCATGGCGGCCTCGGGCTGCGCCGTGGTGGTGGACGGCCGTGGTTCCTCTTCCCCCTCCTCCTCGCACATTACTCCGAAGCCGCCATCGCCCCCCCTCTGGGGCGCTCCCCTGTCTGGCGCGGTCTCCCGAGATCGCTCCAGGCCTGTAGCAGAGGCCGAGGATTGCAGTGAAGAAGCGTGCCTCCTTCTTGGGGGCGACAGGATGGGGATGGCGAGCGGGACGGGGCAGTAGCTGGGCGGGAGCCAACAGAGAGGGCGTCCGCCGCGCCAGTGCCACCAGCCGCGCGGCTCGCGTTGCCCCCGGGGTTGCGCAGCCCGCCGTCCGGCGCTACGCACAGCTCCCACAGGGCCTCGGAAAGACCCAAGAGGTCCCGAGAGAGCACTCGAGAGGCAATGCGCCCAGCATGCACCACTACAACCGTGCCCTGCCACAGCGTCGCCGTGCTGATTTCCAAAGCGCGGTGGCGGGTAGCCTTGCAGCGCAACGGATGCACGCGCGGAAAGACGCAACCATGTAAACACGCAGGCGCACACGTGCACACAACCACACACAAACACAAACACCTCGTCACACAAACACGCGAGCACAAAAGCACACAGCCAGACACATGCGCAAAACAATAATCGCACACGCACATAAACACATGAGCGCACACAGACAGAATTGAACACGTATGCATTTGATTCCAAGGAGTGCGTGCACCTCGATGCCTGACGCCCCAGGAATTCAAGCAATAAATTCTAAATCTGCGAATCCGAATATTGCCCGATTAACTCTTTTTGGCCGCAAAAATGTACGCCTACATTGGCGCAGGCATGAAGCAGAGAGAGCGAGAAACTCCGGTCCGCACGCGCACCAGGCGGGGCGCCGAAAGCTCCAAAACAATCCACCAGGACAAAAGCACGAGGACCCAGAAATAAGATAGGCGAGATGGGTGGTCAAGTCGCACTATGGGAGTGCGATGGGCGCAGTCAGCAAACTGTGGAGTTCTGCGACAACAGTGCAGGACTGTGTAATCAAAACGCGGCGAGCGGCGCGTGTGAGATGCGCTGGCATAGGGCAAAAACTCATCAAAACTCGTTGTGCTGTGTATGGATTTGTTTTTCCAGCGCAGTTTTGGGAGAAGAAAGAGGAAAGCTGAGGGGAACGAAAGCGCGACGAACACACAAAGAAACTCTCAAGTGAAACACTGCACCAGAATTAATCCACTCAGACTCGGAAGAAACGCAATATTGCCGATCAATAAATCTGAACCCAAGCTCCGTGCACGACTACGTAAACTCAAAACGCCAACAACATCAAAATGAGAGAGGGGAGGAAGAGACTTCGCGAATCCCACCAGCCCTTTAGGGCGTAGGTGGTCTAGAGAGTTTCCTCTGCCAACCCCCTTCTTCCCCTTCGGGGAGGGGTTTACCCCTCCCCTTACCCCTCCCCACTGACCTGGACGAGGCGTTCCGCGACGCGTTGGGACGTCCAAGATGGCCCAAGACAGCTCCAAGAGCGAAAATGCGAGAAAGCAAAAAACATTGATTTTACCTAGGTTTTGGAAGGATTTTGGCCTCTTGGGGGGGCCCAAGAGGCGATCCGAGGCACTCTAGAGGGGCGAGAGTAATTGAGGCTCCCCCCTTCTTTGATAGATCTCCTCCAAGATGGCCCCAAGTGCGCCCCGAAGGCTCCCAAGAGCGCCCCAAGAGCGCCCCAAGAGCGCCCCAGAGACCCCAAGAGGCCCCCAAGAAGCCTCTAAGAGGCTGCCAAGAGACCCCCAAGAGGCCCCAAGAGAGTCCAAGATGGCCCAAGACGGCTCCAAGAGCGAAAAGGCGAGAAAGCAAAAAACATTGATTTTCCTTAGGTTTTGGAAGGATTTTGGCCTCTTGGGGGGCCCAAGAGGCGACTCGAGGCACTCTAGAGGGGCAGCGCTAATATACGACCCTCCCTTCTTTGATCGATCTCCTCCAAGATGGCCCCAAGAGCGCCCCGAAGGCTCCCAAGAGCGCCCCAAGAGCGCCCCAAGAGCGCCCCAAGAGGGCCCCAAGAGGCCCCAAGAGGCCCCCAAGATGCCCCCAAGAGGCTCCCAAGAGACCCCCAAGAGGCCCCAAGATGCTCCCAAGATGGCCCAAGACGGCTCCAAGAGCGAAAAGGCGAGAAAGCAAAAAACATTGATTTTCCTTAGGTTTTGGACGGATTTTGGCCTCTAGGAAGGCCCAAGAGGCGATTCGAGGCACTCTAGAGGGGCAACGCTAATAAGCAACCCCCCCTTCTTGATAGATCTCCTCCAAGATGGCCCCAAGAGCGCCCCGAAGGCTCCCAAGAGCGCCCCAAGAGCGCCCCAAGAGGGCCCCAAGAGGCCCCAAGAGGCCCCCAAGAGGCCTCCAAGAGGCCTCCAAGAGACTCTCAAAAGGACACAAGAAGCTCCCCGAGATACGCAAGAGGCCCCCGGGACCGCCAAGAGGCCCCAAAGACGGCCCAAGAGGCCCCCAAGCTCGCCATTGTCCTCCTCCTCCTCCTCTTTTTCTCCTTCCTCCCTCCTCCCCCTCCCCCTCCTCCTCCTCCTCCTTCTCCTCCTCCTCCTCCTCCTTCTCGTCCTCCTCGTCCTCGCCCTCCTCCATCTCCTCCTCCTCATCTTCCTCCTCCTCCTCCTCCTCTTCCTCCTCCCCCTCCTCCTCCTGCTCCTCCTCCTGCTCCTCGTCTTCCTCCTCCTACTCCGACGACGACGACTCCTCCTACATCCTCCCCCTCTTGGAACGTATGGCGGCTTAACCCGCTCTTTGTTCTTCTGCATGCTCCCCCGCTTCCCTCATCACCTCCACTCCTCTGGGGCTCATTTCTGGACGGGCTGGTGGGGATACGCGAAGCGTCTAGAATTAAATACCTCAATACATCCGTCCCTGGCGTTGGTCGAGCACCCCCAAGTGGCCTAAGCGGCCACATATGATACAACCAACGTTGAAGAGAGTGGGCGCATTGAAGACAAGAGGCGGCTCAAAACCTTGACCTGGACATCCAGAGTCGAGGCGACCCACAGCCAAGGCGAAGTGAGACGCCCACGATGATCGCTGAGCTGGACAGCAGCGCGATAGAGAAATAAGAGACAAGACCAGAGAGGAGGAAGATACGACGACGATGACGAGAGGAATGCCGTCACAGCCATCCTCCACAGGGTATGCTGCCGCCGTGCAGCCCCCAGCAAGTGCCAATTGGGTGGAAGGGGCGAGGAGCAGGCAGAGGAGGCAGAGGGAGGGCCAGCCCCAGCAGGGTCAGTCCGTGCTCCGCCTCCGGGAGGAAAAAAGGGCGGGAGGAGGGGGAGAAGAGTGGGACGCCCCAGAGCCTGCAGCTCTGCGTGCCGAGCGGAGCGACATGAGCCTGGAGTTGCATCCAGCCAGGCATGCGCATGTGTATGGGGTTGAAGTACAAGGGTACAGAACCCCTGATCCGTTGGTAGAGAGATGGAGGGATATATGGATATCTTTCCCTCCCACGCGATCAAGGTACGATCGCTCCAACTCAGTACCTGAGCCCAAACGGCCAGGTGCGGGAGAGGTAAGGATAAGGAGTATATCTGAGGGTATTACACGGGTTCCATTCACACCCCCCGTCCCGAATCCCGCCCGTTAAGGCAGGACTCGGGAACAGAGGAAAGGAATCCGTAACCTCTGAACTCCTTTAGTCCTTAAGTCAGAAAGGCAGCTGGGGCTTAAAAAAAAACAGCGAAGCCACAGCTGCAAAGTGAGGTAAGAAGAGATACCCTAAGCCCCCCTTTCTTCTCCAGGCGCACTTTGGCGCCCCCTCGGTGCGCCCCCCAAAACGCTTCGGCACTCGAGGGAGGAGAAGAATGAGACAAGGGTAGGCGGAGAAAGAAGATCTGACAATTAAGGCAACCTGCAATCTGCCTCGCAAGATTTGCGAGGCAGGTGTTGCCACCAGCCAGCAGATTATTCTCGACGCAATATTGTTCACATTGGTAAAATATGCATGCTAAGATCGCGTTGACGAACGCAATCTTGAAATGAAACACAAGTCTGCCTAAAACAAATGTATGCTAAGATCGTGTTGACGAACGCGATCCTGAAAAGAAACGCAAATCTGTGTAAAGCAAGTGTCTGGCCAGACAAAATGTCGTGTTGATGAACACGAAAGGGATGTATAAAAAAGTCTGTTTGGCGACTCCCGTTGGCGTTGCTCCTTAGGAGGCTGCCTCGGTGATCGCAAAAGATATATATATATATATATATATATATTTGTGTATGGCCACTTGTGTGAATGATTGGAGTGGCCTAAAAGAATATATTAGCCACCGCTCAAGGCGAACTTTGATGAAAGAAAGTTCTGCTCTTGAGCGGTGGGCCTTGCGGCCGACTCACTACGCGTCGCCGTCCTTGTAGAACCTGCGGCCCCACACCCTCTGGCCGTTGTACGTCGCGTAGCTTGTCGTAAACGTTTCCCAAGTTGTCCTCGGGATCCAGTTGCGGAACCAATCGTTGTACGTGATATCCTGGATGTACACATACTCGTCGTCGTTGATCGCAATGTAGATCCAACATTTGATGTAGTAACTCCAGTATCGAAGACCCCAGTAGCTGTCCTCGAGGTCGTGGCGCCAGTAAGCAGCGTAATCAGATGTGCGTGCTCTCTTGGCGCGCGGCATCGCGGGCGCGTAGTCCTCCGCGCCTGAGGCGCTGGACGCAGCAGCGTCGCCAGGAGCAGGGCGCGGCGGCGGGCGCGGCGGCGGCCGCGGCTCCATGGCGTCATCGGACTGTTGGGATTGAGTATCGGGATCGGTTCTCATCCCTGTACTAACCCCCCTCTGGTCGGTGTGTGACGGATCGAGGGAGCCTATCAATTCGTTGGCGATCGCGGCAAGCTTGCGCTGGGTGAACTGTTCACGGGTTCCGTCCCTTCGAGGGAGAGAAACCGTAACCAGTCCGCGCGCCTGCCGCGTCTGCCTGTCAATGCGTCCCTCGTTCAGCCACCACTTTCTCCGACCAGCCTGTCCTGTCCTAATGCTGACGTCAAGGATGTCCCACGCGTCGCGCATGTCCTCGACGGTCCAGGGCTTCTTGCCGACATTCACGC